GGTTACAATTCCTTACAACCTGAAATTTGATAGCTTGGATGTGTAAGGAAGTTCTAGAAGATTTCTTTTGAAGTTTGAGTTTGGTCAATGTAATAATTCCAACCACTCAACTTCATAACCAATGGTCAAGATTATTATGACCACTTTGTATCAAAGGTAAATAGTCTCATTCTATGCTTTCCCTTAAGAAATATCATACTTCATGTCTTTTCAATGGTCAAGATTATTGTGTCTGTGTGTATGTATTTGTTGAATTTTAAAAAAAATAACCAACTGGACCACCTAAATCAGCCAAAACAGGCTCGGCCAGTGGCCGGTTCCAATTTACTCAATCGTGTTCAAGTTGGAGTGGCCGATTTGTCAAACACTTGAAAAAAAAAGTATTTATGGCCAAAACAGTATCCAATATTTGCCAAATAATATAAAACATTAAAAAAAAAATCCTAGATAAATTTCTCATTTTAGAACTTTTTATGATTTTTTTAATTTTTTTAATATATCATAATTAGACAACCAACTCGGGATAACTCAGCTAAGCAGAACCTAGCCCACCGACTTTGCCAACGGTGGGTCAAACGAAACGGTTAACAGGGGATCTGAAACGGGATTTGGGCTCTAGGCCACAGCGGCCAATAAAAAATGTGTGGTACGAAATGTCGTCACATTTCAATTGATGGTTGCATAAAGCGATAAAGAGAGGAACCAGTGTTTAAAAAAAAGCCTTCGACTCAGGAATCGCCATCGAGGGATCGAACAGTTAAAAAATTGGGAATCGTCCGGTTCTAGAGAGAATCGGACAATTCTGCATAGTGACTCGCCGATTTACTGTACGAAATCGGCGAGTCCCGTGAAGCACACAGGTTGCACAGTATTCTTCACGATATTCTTCGAAATTTGTCATTTTTTTATCATTTTTTTTGTTTTTTTTAGCATGTGATCTAATTTGCAGGCTTTAAACAGCTTTATTCAGCTTTTACACGGATTAAATGGTTGAGAAATTTGGTGTTTTTGGATCACGAAACTTGCATTTTTAGGGTTTCCGCCTTTCCTTGTGTTTCATGCCAAAATAGGGCATGAATATTTCAAAATTTGTAGGCATTTTGAACGTAAAGTTGTTCATCAAAACTTTTGGTTACTAATTTGTGATAATCGTTGAGAAAAACAGAGTTTTTTGGAGATTGAAGGCTCCGGTTCACAAAACCAGGTAAGAAATTTGGGTAAGGTTTTTTTTTTTTTCCGCCATATGATTAATTTCACTGCATATTTTGAAGATAATGAGTTCAATTTGTAGGGTTTTTAATCTTTATTGTGTCTATTATGATTGAACATATTCAATTTTATGTAATTTGGTCAATTACAGCATAAAATTTGAGATTAACACAAAGATGGTTGCGGAACCAAATTTCCGTTGTTTTTTTTTTTTTTCCGCCTTTTGATTTTTTTTTCATGATATATTAGAATAATGTGTTCAAAATTTAGGGTTTTGATTCCTTATATTTTATTCACTTAGAGGTGGATTTTTTTAGTTAAAATGGCTTACGATGGCTCTGTGAGGAACAGAATCTTTTTTTTTTTTTTTTTTTTGGTAATCCATGAACAAATTTTTTGTAATACTTGATCGATTTTTTTGTAATCTATGATCGAATTGTTTTTTTATTTTTTTTTGGTAATTCATGATCGAATTTTTTGTTTTTTTGTAACCCATGATAGAATTTTTTATAATCCATGATCGAATTTTTTGTAATCCATGATCGAAATGTTTGTTTTTTTTTCTTGTAATCCATGATCGAATTTTTTGCTTTATTTTTTTTTTTGTAACCCATGATA